GAGCTGGCTGGTGGGGCAGAGAAAGACTCACTACATAAAACCTTTAAAAAATACTGAAGTATTGTAAAGTACTCACAAGAAAGCATATCAGATGTGCAGGTGGAGAAGGGCTTCATGGGGGCCCAGCCCTCGCTGCTCAACTACTTGCTACTGACAAATTCGTGGAGGTGGAGTCATTGCCTTCAGTCACATGCCCACTGATGATCTCATCAGACTCCAAAGGAGGATTCCAGTCCAGTGGACACACAGATAGCCCTGGTTACAAGTGGGTCACAAAAAGGACTGAAAGCCATGAACCCAGAAAAGGGACTTGTAGTGATGAGTGTGTGTGTATTGAGAACCAGAGTGCATTATACACATGGGTGAAATTGTCAAATAGCAAAATCAGTACAATTTTAGTAAGCTTAATATCTGAAATGAAACACTTAAAGAGGAACAGAATTTAAGTGCCTCCTTTATATTTTAAATGAACAATGTAAATTATTTAAGAGTTTGATCAATTCTGAATAAAATATGCTAACGTTAATGAAGAAAATAGTTACATCATACAGGATTTTAAAAGTAATTTTGGTTTTGTTCTTCAGTTTGATTATCGTTTTCGAGTATCTGTAGGGACTGGTTTCAGAACACCATCCGATACCAAACTCCAAGACCAGCAATTCTCAACTTGTGGGTCATGACCCCCACAGGGGTCACATATCAGATGTCCTGCACATCAGATATTTACATTATGATTCATAACAGTAGCAGAATTGCAGTTATGAAGTAACAATGAAAATAATTTTATGATTGGGGGTCAATATGAGGAACTGTATTAAAGGGTCACAGCATTAGGAAGGTTGAGAGCCACTGCTTTAGACTTGAAGTCATTTGTGGGATACTTCAATTCAATACAAGGCAGAGTTGTGTAAATAGTTGTTATACCGTACTGTCTATGGTGTGATGGCAAGAGAGATGACTGATTAGTTTTAGTATTGATGCCATTGTATAGATGTTGTGTGTGCATGCGTGTGTGTGTGTGTGTGTGTGTGTGTGTGTGTGTGTGCGTGTGTGTGCGCCTATCAGTGTCAAACATTTGAATAAAGCCCTCTGGTACTAAAAAGGCTTAAAATTACTTACAATTTTTCATTTTCAAAAAGTGCTGTTGCGTTTAAAGCCTAAAATTACTTGAGTTACTACTAATTTGAATTTTTCTCAAGTAGCATATATAAAGTGATTGATAAATCCTGTTGTCATGTTTGAACTCACTGTTCACACTGACGTATAGAAAATATTGAGGGCTGTGGAGGTGGCTCAGCAGGTAGAGGCTCCTGCTGTGAAGCTTGATGACCTGAATTCAACTCCTCAGACCCATGTGAAAGGAGAGAACATGCTGCAAGTGCATACACACATACACCTGCACACACATGCACACACACACCTGCACACACATGCACACACATACACATGTACACACACATGCACACACACATATACCTGCACACACATGCACACACATACACCTGCACACACATGCACACACATACACATGTGCACACACACATGCACACACACATGTACACACACATGCACACACATACACATGTGCACACACATGCACACACACATGTACACACACATGCACACACATACACATGTGCACACACACATGCACACACACATACACCTGCACACACATGCACACACATACACGTGCACACACACATGCACACACACATACACCTGCACACACCTGCACACACATACACATGCACACACACATGCACACACACATACACCTGCACACACATACACCTGCACACACACATACACCTGCACACACATGCACACACATACCCATGTACATACACATATGCACACACATACATATGTACACACACATGCACACACATAGACATACACACACATAGACATGCACACAATACACATGCACACACATACACATGCACACACATACACATGCACAAATAATATAATACATCTTTGAAAAAGAGAGGATATTGCCAGGTGGTGGCACACACCTTTAATCCCAGCACTTGGGAGGCAGAGGTAGGCGAATCTCTGTGAGTTCGAGGCCAGCCTGGTCTACAGAGTGAGATCCAGGAAAGATACAAAGCTACACAGAGAAATCCTGTCTCAAAAAACCAAAAAAAAAAAAAAAAGGATATTGTGTGTTTTAATTGGTCGATGTGAAGTAAAGCCAATCACATGGACAACAGTGTAGCAGGAAAGAACAGGAAGTTGACAAATCACAGAAAATGAGTGATAGAAAATGTATTTCAGGGACATGCAGGAAAAGACTGTTGTGAACATGGAGCTGAGAGAGGAGACATGAACAGCCTGTCTCATCTGTGGTCTGTTCCAGCTTGGACTGACTTAGCTGTTGTTTCTGCCCTGAGAGGGAGGGGTCAGCTGCCCCAAGGGTTTTCCCATCATCCCTGTGAGAAAGAGCCTCCTGCAAAACCTAAAGGCAAATGGGGGCGGGTCTCAGACTTCACCTGGTGTTAGTAGATGGTCTTTCGCCTTTTGTTGTTGATATTTAAATGATTGCTTTTCCCAATACTTTCCTGTTTCTTTCTTCCTTTTTTTTTTTTTGTTCAGACAGGGTCCTACTATGTAGCCCAGGCTCTCCTCAAACTCACTGTGTAGTCCAGGGTGTTCTTGAAGTTGAGATCCTCTTGCCTCAGCCTCCTGAACTCTGTTTCGTTTTTGTTTTGCTTTTTCTTTCTTCTACATGCTACCTGGTGTTGCATTATTGGGCCTTACCTGTTTCTCTATGCAGAAGAGGCACAAGTGTGTTCACTTCTGAAGATGAAACTGTCACTTCTCCCCACAAGTTGTTGAAATGCTCTGAAGAAAGAAGTAGCACTCAAGTCACCTTCCTGTAATGGTTAATATTGATAGCAATTTGACCGTATCAAGAATCTAATTACCATGGAGATTTGGGAAGCGTGCCTCTGAATGTGTCTGTGGGAGCATTTCCAGAAACAATCTGATCATGAAGACTCTGGCCTAATCAATAGATTAACCCTTGATGCATTCATAATATGATGATATTATTGACTATGCTGAAATGTAGGAGGTGGGGTCTCTCTAGGAAGCAGGTCACTGGGGGGGCAGGGTCCCTCAGGCTGTACCTTGCTCTGGTCCCAAATGTATTCCACTTCCCTTTGCATTCTGTCTTCTATGATGTGAGTTGCTTCACCAGGCCTTTCCCAGTAGATGGCTAGAACCCTTTGAAATCGTGAGTTGAAATAAACCCCTCCCCCCTTAGGTGGTGTCTGTCATGAATTTGATAACAGCAATGAGAAAAGTAACTGATATATCTTCAGTTCAGTTCATTCCGTTCCAATCAATGGATGTTTATTGAAAATCTAACATGAGTTTGGTCTGTTGCTAGTTTCCTGGGATTCACAGAGCTGGTTGGGAAATAATCACATGGAATAGTTACAATAGTGTATGACGAGAACTATGCAGGATATGGCCAGTCAGTTATGTGACAGTGACGTTGAGGGAAAGCAAGGGCCACGGGTGAGCTCAGTGGAAAGAGCAGGATGTTACATAGCCATCGAGAAGAGGTGATGGGCAAGTGACAGTTAGTCACGACAGAAAACACAAAGTAGTGGAGCTCCTCAGTCTGTTCAGTCAGAGATGGTGCAGATGGGACCAGATGAAAGGGCTAATGCTACTCTTGTCTTGAGCAGTCACCTCTTGGCTTCCTCAGGCACACTCAGACCATGTTCAAAAAAGTAGAGAGCACCAGGCTTCCTTTTTGAGTGTGATCGCCTTAACTGGCTTCTTTTGTCTTGGGGTTGGCAGGCAGAAGGGAACAAGGAAAAGGGGAAGATGTCCATTGATCTTTGTTTAAAGTCTTTCTGGGGCTTGTGTGCTATCCAAATGCTGTCCAGCATCCCAAATACCACATACAAGTTCCGTTGTGATATAAACCCAGTGTACTATCCACTTGCCATTTGCTAGAGTTATTTTGGCATGAAAGTAATCATTTTTATGAACTTCTTGGCAGAAACTAGGGCTGCAAAATAACTTATATTTGAATGTACTTGTCTTTGCTAAAAACACCATCCTCAGTATCAATATGTAATTAAAATATGGTTTTCAGAAGTTGACATCTTTGAACACTTCAGTCTTGGCAAATGGCTAAGTTAGAAAGGACCAGAGCGTTAACCACACAGCCCAACCATCTCTTGAGGCAAGAAAGTAGCAACTGGGTCTTCAGGACTCAGAACCCTTAACCTACTGAGCAGAGCTGAACCTGTGCTGGAACCAGCCTCTTGGCCTGTCAGAGGAGGCACATTTAGTGGAGGCTCATGTTAAGAAAGATCCAACTTTTATTGCCTTTCTAGAAGCAGGTCAAGGAAATAGAACTCTGTAGAGAGCTGAAATGATAGGCAATTACTTCGGCAAGCTGACTAAGGTCACAAGCACGGTAGTGTTCTAACCACAGAAGAGGTTACAACCTTTGACAAAGACACAGAGCTTAGCACAGCTGCTTCCTACTCTGACCGTGCCACAGCCACCTGCACTGAACCATAGAGAATCTTGTTCTGTGAGATAAGAGCAGTGCAAGATTGTGTTGTGTTGTGTTGTGTTGTGTGTGTGTGTGTGTGTGTGTGTGTGTGTGGTGTGAGCTTTCATTCTGTGTTTAAAACAGTAAGCCAGTAGCCAAAGATATATTCTAACAGTGCTGACTTGGGTTAATCCAGCTTTAGGGCTACTCTTGGAGCAGCTTACACAACATTATCTTTATTATTATCTGTGAAAAATGAGCTCATTACCATATTTCTTTTTTTTTTTTTTTGGGTTTTTCGAGACAGGGTTTCTCTGTGTAGCTTTGCGCCTGTCCTGGAACTCACTTGGTAGCCCAGGCTGGCCTCGAACTCACAGAGATCCGCCTGGCTCTGCCTCCCGAGTGCTGGGATTAAAGGCGTGCGCCACCACCGCCCGGCTTCATTACCATATTTCAATCCTTACTTCTGCAGGGCATTTCTATTCTCACTTCAGCAAGTGTCTCAGCAAATCATACAGTCACTTGAACCAGAAGCTCACTTCCAAGAGCTCACATCATGATGTACTGCCTCGCATCAGGCACAGAAGCAATGGATTTCACCAGCCATGGGCTGAAACCTTCAGCACCAAGAGCAAAAATAAACTCCTCTTTAACAAAATGATTATGTCAAGTATTTATTGTAGGTACCAAAAGCTGAATACACACAAATATTCGTATGCATGATCTCCCAAAATGAGAACATGGCCCTTCCTTCTCACTCAGTAAACTTATACTCTGAGAGAGTAGATGTGTTGATGATTTTTGCAGGAAGTAAGAAATAAAAAGACACAGGTTGCAATGGTTAATCCTGATAGAATTTAGAATTTCCCAGGAGACAACCATCTGGGTGAGTCTGTGAGGGCATTTCCAGTGGAGGGTCTCACTCTGGTGGACGGTGGAACACCCACTCTGAGTATGGGCACCCTTCCATGGCCTGGAGTTCCAGACAAATAAAAAGAAACAAAGCAAGAGGAGTGCAGGCCATCATCCATCCCTCTCCCTGCTTCCTGACTCCAGTACCAACATGCCCAGCAGCTCCTGCTCCTGCTGCCGTGAGGACTGTGCTCTCAAACTGAGAGCCAGCTTGTCAAGTTTTTGGCCAGAGCATCAAGAAAAGTAACTGACTGTTGAACTGTATACATATATATTATTAGTCCACAAGTCAGAGGAGTTGTGTACCTCTTACATATCTGCACACACTGCTGTTATTGAAAAAGACAAGTTTAGGGCTATTTCAGAGTAAAGATGAGCACACATTTTTTTGTATTAGACATACCTGTATATAAAGATATGCTGATTCATAGGTGTGTTTTATATGTTTAGTTACAACTTTCTGTAAAAGTAATTGATATCCTTCTACAGAGTATGAGCTCATTGAAAAAAAACATGATTGCTGTATTTTTTCATCCAAGCTTCATATGCTACCTGAACACAAAGCCCTAAGCTGAAACAATACTTTTTATCCTGAAAGGTTCAGTCATATGCCATATAATCTACATAATATTTGACCATTTTCAAATTGATTTTTTAAAAAAAGGTCAAAATTTTAAAATGTTGGTATTGAAAGATGACAGACCTGGCATATATTGTTATATTTATTTATATTCATGTCTTCTAATGATAGCTCTGGGCTTCACTGCAAAGATTGTAAAGTTCTGCTGGACTTCACTGACAGGCACAAACAGGTAAATATCTCAAGATATCATCCATGCTTGCAGAGGGTGTTGTGTCTGCCTGTGACTACTCAGCATCTTATTCTCTAGCAGGCTCCTTGCGATGGTGGTAACAGCACCATGCACAACGAGGCAGACTGCCTCCCTTCTCATAGCAGCCCATAGACGCTTGTTTCTAGTTCTGTCCCACAAATACCACTGCATTATCCATGAATAAATCATACTCTCATCCTCCAGAATCTTCCATTCTAAAAATAGGCACCACAGACACACCTAGTGATAGATAAGGCAGACAAGCAGAATGGATTGTTGGGATGGCATTCTGAAGATGGAAACAGTCCAGAGTAAATGAGAAAAAATCTCCACTTGCCTTCTCTCAAGCTTCCTTCCTTCCTTCCTTCCTTCCTTCCTTCCTTCCTTCCTTCCTTCCTTCCTTCCTTCCTTCCTTCCTTCCTTCCTTCTGTGAAATGGAAAGTGATCATTCACTGTGATCTCATCCTATGGTTTGTCCCCTTTTCCCTATTACTTATTCTTCCATAGTTGCCGTGGAAGGATGCACTGTGGGGTTGTTACCAGTGCAGATGATAGCATAGTAATTTCCCAAGCAATTTTGACTTAAAAGCAACTTCCTTACCACTTAGAAGCGTCCTCTAGTCGAATTCTGTTTTCCTTCCTTCATGCTGTGCGCAGCTCCTCCAGAAAAGCACTTCCTTAAGGAACTGAAAGTGCAAATATTTGCTGTGGAATCCTTTGTTCTGGACTAGGCTTGTCTCTGCTTCTCTCTTGAGTTTCCTGTGTGAGTCTTTACGGACACGGGGGCATCCTTTGTACTTAAGGACTCCTAGGCCACCGAAGCTCCTCCTTTCCCACTCTGGCGTTCATGAGGTGTGTCTGCCATGTTTCTGTAGGTGCACTGTAGACTGCTGCTTGCTAAGAGGAAATGTCCAACAGGGCATTTGCTTGATTGTTTATGATTGATTAACTTCCATTCACCTCGACTAGAACCAGCTGCTTAGAACTATGACAAAATGGTGTTTTCATCATTTTCTAATGAGTTCAATGTGGGTATTTCTCTTTTGGATGAATAGCTCTGTGCCTTTTATAAACCGATGTGTAACATGCATTTACTGTTTTATTTCTCATGAATGCCTCATTTATCTCAATAGTGGTATAAATGAGAAAGGCATGCAGACCCATTGTGCACCCCCTGACGGTGCTCCAAGGGTGACGCTTAGGACCCGTAAACAGCGACCCACAGGTGGCTTCCTCAGAAACAGAGGAAATGACTTGCCTTTTAGGTCTGCTCAGCTTGCATTGCATTTATTTTGTAAAGAGCCAACAATGACATGTACACTGCAGTTCAAATTTAATTTATGCTGTTTGTTGTTTAAAATGACTCAGTGTCTGCAGCATTTACCAGGGGGCTGTTGAATAAGGCTGGCAAAGTTCCTTTGGAATTGAGTGTTTCCATGCTATGGCAGATGAGGTGTTTAACTCAGAGTCGTGTTTACCCAAGACCCCCTGTCAAGATGGTGTCTCCCTGGATGTTCCAAACACACATCTGTTCTGAGGATACACTTCTGCTCCAAATAATAAAGTGAGGAGTGATGGGCATTGCAATTCCATTTTCGTGTTTGTTGACTGACTTAGTTTGGGATCCCTGGTGGACTTGAGACAAAGGAAAAACTTCTTGAGAAAGGAGCTTATTGTGTCATCCTGGGAAGTACAGATGGGGACACCGGGACAGGGAAGGGTGGAAGAATGCAAAGGAGGAGCAAGGCCCAGGGCGGGTGGGATATTTACCTCCCACCCCCATCCCAGACATAATAACACCCCCCTCATGGATCCTCAGATGCCTGGCATGCTGGCTAGGTATGCTGGCACAATTGTGTACTGGACGACTCAGGGCCCATGAGAGAAAAACCATCAGGCACCTAGAAAGTATCCCTGGAAGATGTCGGTGGGCTTAGTTTGAGGGAGGGTCCAAGGGCATCTGCTATGCTAACCACATCGAATTTCCTTGTAGAAACGCATGTCAGCCTGTGTACATTCTGAGGATGAATGCTTGGGAGATATTGTGAAACAGAAAGTTACTAAACCAGGGTTCTCATCTGAGAAATATCTGGCCACCTTGGGAGAGAATGCCTTTACACTACAGGGCAAGTTACAAATGTAGGCGAGAGGCAGTGTGCTCCAGTGGTGAAGAGGTCTGACTACCTAAGTGTGAACAAAGCGTTAACACTCCTGGTGTGGCACTGGGCTAGTTGCTTGGCCTATCTAGTCCTGGGTCCTCACTTGGAAAGCACTAAGAATAAGGCCATTGTGAATACTGAGATCCCAGGAAGGAGGCTCAGCATGCTGACTCGCTTATCAAAGCACAAGTTAACTACCATCAGGATGTTGCTTCTCCTTCTCACCCACAGGAAGGTACAGCTGAGAAGGAGGTTATCATGAAAAGTACGGTGTAAGCCAGTCAGCAGAAGGCCAACACTATGATCCCAATACTGTATGAAGTACATAAGGAGTCAAAGGGAACGAAATGGGAAATGGGTGCTTGCTGAGGGCCTGGAGATAGGGGATAGGGAGCTATGGTTAATGGGTCCACAATTCTGTTTTGCAAGATGGGAGAGATAGATTAGCGATCTCTTGTACAACAGTATGAGTATACTTAACCCTACTAAATGTATAAAATGAGCAGTAAAGTTATGTTATGTGAAAATAATTTCTGTTTTTGTCTTGAGATAGAGACTCCTGATGTAGCCCAAGCTGGTCTCAAACTCACAATCCTCTTGCTTCAGCCTCCCAAGTACTTGGATGACATTACGTGTGTCATCACACTAGACTAAAACATTTTGCTTTAAATTGTGGTCACACACACACACACACACACACACACACACACACACACACACACACACCAAAATGGAACATGGTGACATATATTTGTAATCCCAACACTCCTAACAGGAGGTAAAGACAGGAAGATTGACCCCAGGTAAGACTCCTAACTATAGTGGATATGTAGTCTGAACTGGTAATCTCCTGTGATCAGATTGGTGTCTAGCCCAATTGTCATCAGAGAGGCTTCATCCATCAACTGATGGAACAGTTGCAGAGACCCACAGTCATACATTAGGTGGAGTTTAGGGAATCCTGCAGAAGACAGGAAGGAAGGATTGTAGGAGCCAGAGGGTCAAGGACACCACAAGAAAACTCACAGAATCAACTAACCTGGGCTCATAGGGACTCACAGAGACTGAACCAACAACCAGAAAGCCTACATGGGACTGATGTAGGCCCTGTGCATATATGTGACAATTGTGTATCTTGGTCCTCTTGTAGGACTCCTAACAGTGGGAACAGTGGTTGTCTCTGACTCTTTTACTGGTTTTTGGGACCCTACTCCTCATACTGGGTCACCTTGCTCAACCTTAATACATGGGAGGTGCTTAGTCTCACTGCAACTTGATATGTCACATTTTGTTGATACTCATGGGAGACCTGCCCTCTCCTAAACAGAAATGGAGAAGGAGTGGATTGGGGGGTGGGTGGGAATAGAGGAGTTAGGGAGAGGAACTGGGAGGAGAGGAGAGAGGCAAAACTATAGCCGGGATGTAAAATAAATAAATAAATAAATAAATAAATAAATAAATAAATAAATAAATAAATTTATTTTTTAAAAAAACTAAAAAGAAAGAAGATTGTAAATTTGAAGGTAGCCTGACTACAAAGAAACTCACTTGAAATTAAAACTAAGTCACTAAAAAAGTCCAATTTTTCTTGAAAACTGTGTTGTTTCCAAAGTTCCATTGGCCATCATTTACACATTAGGTTCATGGATATCTACTAAACATCGGATTGTGGAAGCCTATGTGACACTTGAATGATTTGTTTTGGGTACCAAAGGCAAGCCTCCAACCAGTGTGTGTGTGTGTGTGTGTGTGTG